TGTATATGTATGCGCAAAATTTATTTTATTTTAAGTTTTAGCACATACATAGAAAACAAAAACAAATGATGATACTATAATGATTTGTTTTCATATTCTTATTGTTGCTTGTTCTTTGACTTATTGTGTGTTGATTTTTTTAATAAAGTCGTTGTGGTTTACCCATAGATGATTTAACATAGAGTGCACGAACATTTTGCCAATTTTTTTTAAGTAATGAAACAAGAAAGTTAACCGATAAATTAATATTAGCAGCTAATTCATCAACACTCATTGTTACATTACCAACTGCAACAGCTAAACAAATTGTTTTTTTGGCTTGAAATTTAATTGTTGATTTTATTTCTTCAACTTTTTGTACTAATGAATCACCATGTGTAATAGCTGTTGGAAATTTACCCGCTTTATTTAAACCAGGTCCTAAAAGAAAAAAAAATAGAAATTTTTTTTAAATATAATCATTTTTTATGTAAAATATTTACCAAGAATACGAGGAATTTGTCGAATAACGACATCCGATGCAAGAAATGCATCATATTGATGAGACAATTTTCGCACGAGTTTTTTATCCTTGTTTAATTTTTTTAAATCTTCAACAGTCATTGCTGGAATATTATTAGCACGAGCTTCATCACAATGACGTTCATCACCCAAAACACATACAGTAAATTTTGGTTTTGGAATATGACGAAGACGAACAGTACCACTAAAACGTTTATCACGTGATGGATCAAAATTTTTTAAAACAATTTGTAATTCGACTGTTTCGACAAAATTACGTTTCTTGGTTTCCTTAGCATAAGTTAAAACATTTTGTGCTGTTTCAAATAATGTATCCTATAATGAAATCAAAAATAAAATAAGAATATTGTTGTGATCTTCTTCTTTTTAACTTACGCGAGTAATTTTCGACGACATTATGAGATGATACGAATTTTATTATAATCTAAAATAATTACAAATTAATTTTTTAATATATACATTTTCAATATTCAAATAGTTCTTTTGCAGGATCAAAAAGAAAAAAATAAACAAGTAGTATTCGACTGGTGATCCAATGAATACCATTGAACATTTTTTTAACAAATATGTTTTAATAGATTTTTAATCTAAAATTCAAGTATTATTTAATTTGATGATGTTCGATTTTTGAAATCAGATATTTAAATTGTATTTGTTTATAAAACTAAGTTATCAATGCACTTTGATGAACATCAATTTTGACCAGTCAGATTCTAGAGAACGTACCTCATCATTATCATAATCATAAGCAATTATATCAAAAGAAATTAGTGTTTTACGGAAGATTGATATTCTTATTGAAACATCTGGTGTGATACGCTATTTGGCATTACGTATATTCTGACAGAAAACATATTGAGATACTTTTAGTCTTGTGTGTAACAAATGAACTAAATACTAGAAATTTCCAGCAATTCCTGACTTAGGACAAGAAAATCATATGTACTAGTATTTTTGTTATAGCACCGTATTCCATTGCTCATAGTGAAATACGTAGAGAACAGCGGCTCTGCGTGGGACGAAATGGGACGAAAAATTTCCGTTCCATCTCATCAAACCACTTTCATTAATACTCATCAAATTTTACTTCCTTTTATTTTATATTTCAGAATTTTATTACAATCGAATTCATATTTCATTCTATGAATGTAAACTATTTCTAATTTCATTTGAGTTCTATCATCACCTCCAATCAACAATCTGTCAAAAAATCGAACATGACTTAATAATTCGATGAATTTTTTTTGTAATAACGGAGTAGTTTGTTCAGTTGTAAATTCATGAACAACTGATAGAGAATCAACAATAAAAGATAAGGATAATGTGATCATAGAAGAATATGAAACAGTGGTCAAGCTTATTGAATAAAATCGAACAGATTGATATTACACAAGAAATAATCAAATCATTTGTTACTATTACAACAGATTGGGCTGCGATGTTACTTTATATATTGATTCATTTTTATTTAGTTTATTGAATTTTAATAGTTGTGATGATGCTTAACTACTTACAGAATAGGAAACGAATTATTTCGAAACGATTTCGTTCTTATTAAAAGAAAATTTCTGTAAAAGACATTTGTCCCATCACATGCGGAGTACCAGGAGACCAAATAAATACTGTTCCAAGGATTCAGTCGAACAAAGAATATCAATAGCTTTTGAGCAGTTTAAATAATTACTATTTTTTTCTTAAACAGCTAAATACTCCATTCGTCAAAGCTACATTAAATCTATTTTCGATAAAAATTCTATGCCTATCAATGCCATAATCACAGTAGTTCTAGTGATACTTATAAAACCAAGTTAAACGACTAATACATTAGAATTGCATTGTACGAGTTGTGTAATATTCCTATTAAATCAATCCGATCTCGTTCGGAAACATCTAAAATAATAACTCATCAAAAAGTCGATGAAATTCATGTTTGTGAAAGTGTATCAAAATGAAGTTGTTCAAACTAATTCATAAGCTTGTTGTGTATTGCAAACAACGACATATCGAATTATGACAAACCATTCCGTATTAAAGTTATCTATGGGAAAATATATTCCATAACTCTAACACAAAAACATTCTTTACAGAGTAATAGATATATCAGTCTAGTTATTTCAATAATAAAAAATATATTCACAACAAGAATTTCATGATGACAATGTTGTCTGGTTGTACGAATTCTTGTGACGAATCACAAATTGTATAGAAGTTGGATAAGTGTGAGAGTTCAAAAAAAAAGGTTTATTATACATTTATGAATATATAAAGGAGTTATTATATTGAAAGTTTTCAACGGCGATCGCAGCAATATTCTAGAGAAAAGTTAAACTAATATCCTGATAAAAAATAACAACAAAGAAAAATCATCATGATCGTCTATTTATTTTTTGTTGTAGAGAAATATCTTGGATGTAATTAATAACAAAATTTCTTTTCAATTTTGTTTTCATAATACAACTGAATTGACGTTTTAAGAAAGTTGTCATTGTTCTCTATTTCTCGAAATAGTTCGATATTTTGAATATTTTTTGCATACTTTTGTTAATTAAGAAAAAATGCATTAGTTGTCGAACTATCTACAAATATGATGCATAGAATGACGAATAAAATGAAAATAGAATTTAACAATTACGGCTACGTAGAACAAATTATTATGATTTTATCAAGTAAAAATATTGTCAAAATAAATTACATGTATTGGTTTATTGATACAGATTATCGATTAGATTGAATGAAAAATATCCATAAAAGTCAATTATTTTCATAGTTTGAATGTGAAGAAATATTAATTTATTTCGTTAATATTGACAGTTATAATCAAGTAAAAACAGATAAAAAATGGCGATGTAATAAGAACCGAATGTACAAATCTTTTCATGAATTCTGATCAATAATGAACAGTCTGTGGTTTTCGGTTACAGACATTGTACTTTTCTTTTACAATAGACGATATCTTTGCTCTGATAATCATTCGTTTTCCTTCTCAGATTTATTTTTGATTTACGTGGAGTGATAAAGATAAACTAAATGGTTCATGTGTATGTATCAGTACTTATCCAATGATTGTACGTATTGAACAATCTAATGATAAAATAACGGATAAAATAAAATCATTCAAAGATCATGAATAGGGTTTAATTATTCTTGATGAAGTTCATACAAAATTATGTCTTACAGCGACGTTAGTTAAAGAAGATGATAGAATAGCTGATTTAAATTATTTAATTGAATCTAAATTAACTTAAGCTATTTGGATGGAATTACAAAATTTAGGTCATATTACTAAAGTTCAATGTAGCGAAATATGGTGTCGAATGACATCGAAATCTAATTTCATGTATTATGAATCCAAATAAAATTTCCTAGATGTGAATTATTAATACGTTATCATGAAAACCTTCATGATAAAATTATCATTTTTTTCTGATATTCTTATTTTAAAAACTTATACAAATTTTACATGATTTTCAACATGATCCAAATATAAAAACAATTTTTCTTTCGATAGTTCTTGATACATCATTTGATTTATCTGATAGTAATCTATTAATACAAATTTCAAGTCATGAAGAATCAAGATGATAAGAAGCACAACGACTTGTTCGTATTTTACGATCGAAAAAAGGTGCGAATATTGAAGAATATAATAACCTTTTTTATTCACTTGTTTCTGAACATACTGTTGAAGTGTATTATTTAGGTAAACGACAAAATTTTCTTATTAATCCCGATTATTCATACAAAATCATAAGAGGATTATGGAGCAAAGAAGATCAAGAAAAATCTGTGGAACAAATTGTATCATCGACAATTTCTCTTCAGCAACGCGTTAATTCATCGACACAAAATAAAACACCAACCGTCTAACAAAATATCGAATATAGTAAAAAGTGAAAATAAAATCTCAGTTATTTGTTGCATCATCATCATTCTTTGTAGCAAACGTCGCAAAAATTCTATAATAACAGAATGGAAAAAAATATCAAAGAAAAAAACTAGAACTCTGATCATCTACATGTTTGACTGAAAAACTGGAGCAGTTTGTGAAAAATCACTCGATCGCTTCTGTACTTGTTAGATGAAACTAAATTCTGCTAGAAAAATGTGAACAAGGGACATACCACACTGAACCATCAGTAACGTTTAGTTTAATCATTTACTATTGTGCAAATATGTTACTCTGGCAAACTAGTGTTGCCACCATTCGGCACTTTTTCGTCATCGGAACATGCACTTCATCAGAGTTCTTTTTCTTGTCTCGAATAAATTTTAAAAAAAATGAAGAAAAATAATATGTTATATCTAGATACTTAGAGGTAGAGAATATTACATATTACAGAAAACATTAGCACCATTTTAAAAAGAGAAAAAACAAAGCAAAATTTACGGTTTCGCAAACTATGGAAACCTGAATCAGATGTTGACGATAATTAACTAATATGTTCATGAATCGATGGATCATCGAATATGAGATAATTTTATGATATTGTTTCCCATTCTTCATTATTTAAACGACCAGTTACATCTGTTTCAACAGCATCAAACCAATAATCAGTAACATACGTTCGACTTATTCCGTCAATTTCTTCCTCCATCATATCAATGTATTGTTGAGAATATACAACTGGCTTTGATCGACTGCGGTATCGTTCAAATTTTAGTAATTTTAATAAATTTTCAAGTGTATGTGTTACATTTGTATTTTCTATTGGTATATCTTGTGATAAACAACTACTAATTATATTTGCATTTAATTTAGCAATATCACCACGAAGACGATCTGTTGTTAAATTATCGTTATTGAACTCTAATTGGTGTAAACGAAATGGTAAAACAATATGAAGATAAAACGCAATAACATGAATTAATTGACAAGCATGTGACAAAGCTGAAAGTACTTCATATAATTCATGAGAAAGTGTTGATTGAAGAGAATCAGTATCAGAGTTGTCATTATCAACATTGGCTGTGAGAAGAAGTTTATCGATTTGATAATCTCCATTAGCCGGTAAACATGAATCAACAATTTTATATCTATCTCTTCCTCCAATTGATAATGAAAAACCTTCTTTAACGGATGATGATACACGTTCAATAGGAAATATATATTTATATACTTCATTAAGAAGTTTTCGACGAATAACAAATAATTTTTTTTCTTCTTTAATTCTTAATTCATTTTTTTTTCGTATTATATCATTTGATGAATTTAATCTCGCATTGATTTCATGAATATTTTTTTTACTTAACAGTATTTTTATATTTATTTTATCCATATGTTGTTGAGTTTCGATTTTAGCTTTTTTACCTCGTTCAATTTGTTCTTGTATTCGTATTATAGATTGTTTAACAAGATTAAGACGATTTTTTCGTAAAAGAATTTCTTCAGACATTTGATGTAGTCGAATTACTGGTTCCATTTTTGTTTGATATTCGGCTTGCAACATTGTTTTTTCTATATTGAACTTTTTTAATAAAAACCTTCGATCAGAACATTGTAAATGTGCTGGTGTATGAATCGAATATTTATTTGAATATTCTTGAAATTCTTCATAATCGTTTAAATTTAACACACTTATTAATGTTTGTCTTCGTTTGTTTGAACATGTATCATGTTTAGATGGACAAAATCGACCTGTATTAACACATTTTGCACATGTTAATGTAGCATCATCAACTAGTTTCCTACATAAACAACATTTATAGGATGATATAGGTACAATTGTTTGTGTCATTGCATTTAATGGAGGTGAAAATAAACCATTTGAATTTGGTTCATTTTCACGATCCATATTTATTTTTTTATTAAATGTTTGGGTAATTTGTGAGAAGCAACTATTTCACAAGGTGTTTTTGATCAAAACATCTAGTTTATCTTTGTATTTTACCATTCTTTTGTTGTATTTATTTGCTTACTATGTAGGAAGGACAGCATAGATGTCGTGCCCTGCACACTATAAATGAAAAACTTTTAGTTGAAACTCATCAAGAAATTTAAAAAAACAAAAGACATATGAAGTATTGCAGTTACTATTTTGTTTACACACTAATACTATATATCTGTAAGAGATATATATTCCGATATGAAATATGAGTATAACAAGTTTAATCGAAAAAATCATGTGAAAGATTTTCGTTCAGATATGGAATTAATAGTTAATCATAAAATCGGCCATTATGCTTTGCACCAGATCGTCATATTAGTGGACTACAATACGTACAAGAATATAAATTATCAACTTATTCATTCTATGCTGCTGTATCATTTGGTTTACAAATTAATGATATTATTGAAACATTGAAACGACTTTGTAGTACAACAATATCTAATAATATCATTGAATTTATAAAATTATGTGCCTCAAGTTATTGAAAAGTCAAATTAGTATTAAAACATAAACGATAGTTTGCTGAAAGTGCTTTTCTTAATATTTCAAAAAAAATCTTCTGCAATATTCACAAATTGAAGAATCTCAATTAATAACGACCTAGAATCATGTAGTAATACAATAAACAGTGAACAAATATCAGATGATATTCGATGTTCATATGAAAAAATCGATCGTGATGAAAAAGCTTTTCAAAATAGTTTCATTTCAAGATATTTCAAATAAAATTGAACTTTAATCTAAAGCTATTTTACGACGGTATCAAGAAAAAAGTTTAAGAAATATGTTTGGTAATTGGTGAGCACGATCAGGGTTTATTATTCGTGGACATGATGCCGAAAAATATTTCGTTGGTGTTACAGCTGCTTGTATAATACACTCATGGTACAATTTTGTATAAACTTCATCAAGAGGCATTAAACCTCATTAACGATCTTTGAGTTATTTTATCATTAGATTGTTCACTAGGTGCAATTAATCGACAAGTACTAATACATACACATGAATGGTTTAATTTATCTTTATCACTTGATGTAAATAATTCTACATTAGAAACTAATGCAAATTTTTCATGCTTTTCAACATGATCCAAATCTAAAAATAACTTTTATTTTAAAAGTTGCTGGTACATCATTTGATTTACCCGATACTAATGTACTAATACAAATTTCAAGTGATGGATAATCAAGGTGATAAGAAGTACAACGATTTCGTCGTACTTTACGACCGGAAAAGGAGCTAATCTTCAATGATACAATCACCTTTTTATTCAATCGTTTCTCAGGATACTCTTCAAATGTATTATTCAGCTAAAAGACAAAGTTTTCTTAATCAAGGTTATTCATACAAACCATAAGAGGATCATCGAACGAAGACAATAAACCACTATTTTCAACCAAACACGATCAATCAGAATTACTTCGAACAATTCTACAACATAGAGATACAGACGAACACATAAACGAGAAAAATATACAAAATCAATTCTACTATGAACGACATCTCCTCAGTCACATGTTAATTCATCGAACAAAGTTACCCATGAAGTGTTTACCAAAAACTGGAAAATCGTATCACTACTCTCCAAATAAAATCTCAGTTATTTCTAGCAAACAAAAAGACGCTTAATCATCTAAACGTTTCACTAAATAAATTGAACTGTCGGCGAAAAATATATCGAACACTTCCACACTTCATAGACACAACTGAATTTCTATAGAGAAATGTGAATCACCCACGTGTCACACTAAGACACTGAACAAGTTAACTTTAATTCTTTACGGTTACAGAAAAATGTTGCTCTGGCAGACTAGTGTCAGCACCAATCCGCATATTTTCGTCATCGCAACATGTATTTAATCAAAATTGATGATTTACCTCTTGATAAGTTGTAATGAGCAATTTTTCTCGTAGCTGTGTAGCCCACGACATGTCTTGTCCTTACACATACCATTATTTTTCTCGTTCTGTGCATTGCCCAATGTGTAAGCACAGCACTAATGTGGAGATGACATTTTTAACTGAATAGTTATCGCTTCTCGGCCTTTTCGGCTAAGATCAAAGTGTAGTATCTGTTCTCGTCGGTTTGAAAGCCGGCGCTGGTCCCATTGGGGCCAGGCTCTTTCAAGCGGATTTTTGGACATCGGCCGGGATCACCCGAGTTCACTTGGACCCGTGCCACGGATCGTCTCGACACTGCAGTGCCGTCGAGTTCGGTCCACTCCCGTTTCCTTCAGGAAATGGGAACTATTCATAAGTAATAAAAAATGTTAAACTGCCTTCTGGCTTTTTCTTTATGGAAAGAAATAGTGATGGTTCATGTTCCTACGGATGAGTACGTATGTTATTTTGTCACAACGAAATATGGATGAAATGAAGACTACGAATGAGAAAATGTTTAGCTCAGTAGTAAAGAGTGAACAGAAGATGTCATTACTCCTCGGCAGAAATTATTTGGAATATAGTTTAAATAGAGTATGGCTGGATTGATTCTTTGATTGGCTTAGACCAACAATGTTTATGGTTATAAACCTTTCATCTGTGGAAGAGAAGTTCTGTTTTATTTCAAAGTAAAGTTTACACAACTCATGAGCCATAATTGCTGATGTCCACATAAAAAAATGAATCATAAACAGTAAATGTGATTGAGGCGCTTGTGTTATCTTCGCTTTAATATAAATTACAACTATGTCATTAGCTTATTTTAAGATATGTGAAGAGATTTGACAGTGCAATGAATTTGAATGAATCGCTGCTATACGATGACGAAAAAAAACTGATTAATTGTAGTAAAACAAAAGCACAGAATGAAGTGTCTTTAATCACAAGCATGAAGTCTTCCGAGAAATGTCTCTGAAACTATGTTAAATCGTATAGAATCGAATAGAAATTTCTTTTTCTTAAATTGAAGCATAAAATGAGACGTTTAATATAGGTATATTTCTTCTAACATATGTTTGGATTCCCAATCTGTGTTTGTTACAACCTTATTTTATAATGCAAAATATTATGTGATATGCTGTCTTTTATCGTATACGGATAGTAAACTAGGAAATAAATTTTGTCAGTTAAACATAAATACTGAAGAGAAGAAGGTGCACACTTTTCTACTTCACGAAGTTCCATGAATGTTAAGAGTATTCCAGTTTTTATTCGGGTTCTTGTTAATAGTTCTATTGACATACGTTCCCATCGTTTACAGCTTATTTTTTAATCCAAATCCAAACATAGAAGTGAATTATCAGAATGAAAAAACAACAATTAATGCAAACAGACATAGAAAATATTTGAACAATAAATATTTGAAGAATTATAATCAATACAAATCGACATGCAGTACCCTCAAATTACTCTCTAACACTTCTCAGTAGTTATCTACAACCTTTTGTGGTGAAACAACTGTGAAGTGTGAAACAACAAACACATGAGACATATTTATTGCATTAACCATTAGTCTTTTCTTGAAGATTTATTCATGTCACAAAACTAACTGACAAGATTTCAGCATGATTTTCATATCCTGTTGTTCCAATGATACAAAGTTTTGCCATATTTCTAGAATATCTCTTTTCATTTGATTATGAAATAAGTTATTTTATTACATTTTGTGATGCAACAATACAACATTTTGTTCAATCGAAATAAAATAGTGTTTATTCAATGTAGTCGAATTATTGCCATGAATGTCGATGACGACTGTAGTTGTATTTGATGACCCATATTAAAATCTCTGGCCACTTTTTTTTATAGAAACTACTTACAGTTTTTCGTTCATTGAATTGGATCCACGATCACACCAATCTGATTTTCTAGTTTCTTGCCAGATATAGCATGCTTCAGAAGCGAATGAAATGAAGAAATTTTATTCTTTTTTTCATTGTTCGAGTTCCTGCTCCTCTTCTGCCAATGGAAAAATGTAGAACCATGTGAGAATTTTCTCTTGAAACAACCGGCGCTCTTTCTGATCTGCATGTATTCTGTCCAATTCCCTTAACAAATCAGCTGTTCAACAGTTTTTTTCCCAATTATGTAGTAAATATACCATGTCGAGAAAAAATGTTGCTTTCCAACATGTCAGTGACAATATCCTATTTCTGCATGACACGGTTAACTAATTAAAACAAGCTTTCATTCTATTGACCAACAACAGATAACGATCTTTGATGAAAAAAACGAACGGTCCGCATAACTTTTCATTTTACTATGGACTCATTAGGGAAAAGGCAATGACACTAATTTCACAATGGTAACAGTTTGCTGCTTGTAATCATGTAGTCAACAAAGTACAACACGCGGCATTATCACGAAATCCGATAAGTATTACTTTTGTTTTTCTAGAATGTTGCTCTGGCAGGTCGATGTTGCATCAACCCGCTCGTTTTCGTCATTGCAACATGTATTTGATCAGAGTTGATCATTTACCTCTTGGTAAATTGTAATAAGCAACTTTTCTTCTTAGTCTGTAGAGCACAGTATTTCTCTTGTTCTTACACATTCCTTCTTTTGCAATCGTCTATTCTTACACAGTATGTGTAAAGATAAAAAAGATGTTCTGCAGTGCACATCTACGAGAAAAATTGCTTAATACAACTTACCAAGAGGTAAATGATCAACTCTGATCAAATACATGTTGCGATGACGAAAAACGTGCGGAGTGATGGCAACATCGATCTGCCAGAGCAACATTTACCATAAATAAATCAACAGGAAATAACACAGTCTCATACTCTAATTACATATACTGCTGTTACACATAAAAAACTCAAGTTTACCAGTTAACAATGTCTTATTTCCGTTCGCGAATCATTTCTATGAAAAAAAATTATTTTTTTTTTTCATGTCACTATTTTCTTTCTTCAAACATCAAACGTTCATTTTCACTCAATTATAAGATGAAAGTTTCTTTGAGTTAACGATTTGTTAAAAAAAATTTTCATGATATTTGGCAAACTAAACAACCTTCTGTACTTCGACAAGATAATTTTTTGTTGTGTGGACAATCAGTGCAATACATTGAGTCATCTTTTTCGCAACAGCTTCATGAAAACTACATTTCTACTTTGTTTTCTTCTTATTATTATTGAAAGAATATTGCTCTGGCAGATCGATGTTGCCATCAACCTGCACGTTTTCGTCATGGCAACATGTATTTTATCAGAGTTTTTTTTTGTTTTTTTTTTAATATGGTGTTAGTTTATATTCTGTTTATCTTAAAATAAAATAAAAGATTCAAAACCAAATTAAATTTCGTGTATATTATAAACGACGACAATTAAAAATAATAAGTGCTAAGATGAGAAAACCCATAGACCAAATAAATGTAACCATAAACGCTTGTTGTACAATTAAATGTTTAATACACCATCCTTTTAAAAGTATGCCACGCATAGCATCAATAGCTTTTGTCATTGGTAACCATTTTGATATGGTTCGCAGCCATATCGGTTGTCCTTCGAGTGGCCATACAATACCGCTTAGAAGTAATACAGGATAGAAAATAGACATTGTAATTTGATGAGCATTGATTTCTGTTGTGAAAATTGTTGAAATAACTAACCCAAATGTCATACCACAAAAACCTTGTATCATGCAAATTAATGATGTATATAATAAACTACCTCTTAATGGAATCTCGAAAATATATAATGAAGTAAATAAAACAATTACTATTTGAATAAGAAGTATCAGCAAATGTATTATCATTTGACTAAGAATAATTTGATTAGATTTCACCCCTGTTATCCATACACGTTCTTGTGTTCCATCACTTTGTTCAGTGACAAGTGAAAGAGCAGTAAGAGCAACATTAAAGAAAAAAATAACAGAAAGAACGACACCAGGTATCATAAAATGTGTAAAAGTATATTCAATTTCTGGTAGATGATTTTGAAATTGTTCTAATTTAAATAATGATTGATTTGATGAAGTCGATGTAAAAAATCCCAGATTAAAATCTATATCAATACTTTTAAAAACTCGAATAAATTCTTCAGCAATTGTATAAACCATTTGTCGATTTGTTTGATCTAAATATATTATCACTTGAGAATCTGTATATTTATTTACGTCAGAAAATGAACAAGAATATATTTTTTCGAAAAGCTCTCGAGTAAAATTTGCACCAATATCCATAATTCCGAATAAATATCCCGAATGAAATAAATCTTGAGCTTCATTTATCGATTTATATTCAATTAGATTAATAACATTTTTATCAATTTTATTAAATATTAATCCATTCGAAGAAGTCGATCGAACAGTTTCACGTGAAATAAATCCTATTGGAATATCAGTTAATTTTCGTCCAACACATAAACAAAATAAAGTTATTTGTAGAATTGGTAGAAGAAGTTGAATAATAAGCATGAATGAATTTCGTTGAAATTTAATAATATCTTTTATAAGAAGAGCATAAAGAGATCTACCGGTAGATGGACGTACGCAAGAACGAAGTGCATGACAACATGAATTCTTCATACAGGGTGGTAAATAATATTATTCCAGGGGGGTAACACTATGATCTCGAATCGGAGATATCATGAATTTTATACCAAATGAAAGCTCGTGAAAAATGGGGTTTAGTGATAGTAAATAGTAAGACTTTGAAGAACTTTCTTGTATTAATTTATCAAACGTTACGATTTTTATCGACATAAAATATTATAAAATCAGTTCATCGAAAAAGTTCGGGGCTAAACTATATGTTGTACAACTGTTTATTTTCTTATTATTTATTGAGTACAATCAATAATCANCTAACATCTTTTCTCTACTGTCTTATTCGTATTCACTACATAAATGCGACCGTATATTTCACCTCTCCACTTAAAAGACATCTGGCTTGAACTTTGTTCTAGTGCTCAATCCGATCGATTCGCCTTCAAATAGACTATAAACGAGTCACCATTTCGACTGCTTAAACTTTGAGTCTGATATCTAATTTCTCTTGAAAAATTACTTACGAATTATGCAAATCATTGTCTACATGTGCAAGTTTTGACAAAAAAAAACGAGCTAATCATCCGAACCTCCTTCGAAAAAGAGTAACCAAGTGTAAACTTATTCTCACCGGCACTCGTTTTCACAAACTTTAATTGCAAATTCTCACTGTTCTTGGTCGGACGTTAAAAACATAAAGGTAACCACATCTTTTTTCTTCGGCACAATATTAAATAAAGTGCTCTTTCTTCTCAATTTTAGCAGCCGTCATTCACATTTAACTCATCCACACCTGCGTATCGAACTATCAATCACCACTTTCAACTATTTTTAATGCCCGAGGTTAATGAACCACCCATTGAAAGTTCTAGCTTTCGAGAACATCCTCACCCTTTAATGAATGAAAGTAAAACGATTCCATTCTTTGGATAGTCATGAACAAATATGGCTCTGTTCTTGATTTACACATCTTTCATTCACATCAGTCTTTTCAAAGTTGGTTTCCACAGTCGGATGTGGGTGTAGACTTATAGACACTCATATCCACACCCACCCTTTTCGACTAAGTTTCAAGAAGTCAGTCTGTAGGTCATAATACTTAGTTGAAATTAGCTAAAGTATACATCAGGAGAAAGAGCTCACTTTGTTAGAATGTCTTCTATCTTTGTTATTGCATTAGTTACATTCTTGGCAATATTGAAATTAGTATGATTTTTTTCAAGAAAAAAGGACAATGACACATTATACGTGTATCTTGTTCTTTTTATTTCCTTGTGTGTTAGGTATCGGTTTGGGGACATTGCTCGACTGTGTTGCTTCCTTGAACCATGTTTTAGCTCTTTGTTCCTGCCCGTCTCCACTTTGTATTTTCGAGCCATTCTGTTGCTGCTTTTCAAGAGTTCTCAGAATGACGTATGTATTATGTTTCAATAAAATATTTTCATTGACCTGCAACATTGCTAGATCACCATCACTTACGCGATCAATCCACAAATCTGTTCGTTTGAGATAGATTTGAACTGGTACATCAAGACTAATATTTGCATTCAATACGCGGACAATCAATCGTTTAAGCATCGAAATCCAGCATTCACTATTTTTGAGTGTTCCAACAATTGTCTCTTGTTCGAATGTTGCACAAGAGAACAGAGTGAAAACTCGTTATCGTTCTTCATCTGTAAATGTCTCTTCCATGAGTTCTTTCTTCATGTAAACACGCAAAACTTGATCAGAAACGTTTTCCTCAAAGGATCATTCACATAAAATGTTCATATAAAAATGGGAGAATGAGCGGGCGAGGGAAGCCGATTTGTCAGAACATAAAATATCGGCAGTCGGTTAAACATTTCTAGATGTTCACACACCTACTATGAATACTTTCCTTTTTTTCATATAACTTTCCTCCAAATTTTGAAGTTTAGCTCGTTTTGAAGAGCGTTTTCAAACAGCAAGCGAACTGAATGAATCAGTTGAATATGAATATGATATTAACATAATTGAAAATTATGCAATATGAACAGATAATTATTGCGTGAAGCAGCAGTATGAATGTTGTCCTATTTTCGAGTGCCATTGCTATGGGACTTCATTATTTGTTTTTACTTATATTGTTAAACGAAATATAGTTAATTAATGATAATACTAGTAATACGAGTTCATTGATCATTTTTTTTCGATGTGTTCAACACACCATTTTCAAACACAATAGATAAAGAGTTAGAATTATTGATAAACAATTCTTTTTATTTCTATAATAATGTTGATCAACACACTCGCATTACTAGTAGTTTGTTTTTTACTGTTTTCTGCTTATTAAAATCCAACGTCTTTAAAACAAAAAACTTTTTAATAGGCTACATTTTGTTGTTTATTGTTTGTGTAATGTGTGTTTTTGTCTTTTTTTTTGATACGCATATATTTATTTAATGAACTTCTATTTTGTAATAAGGAAGTAGTATATTTGAACAAACAGGTTTTTTTTTGTATACTGAGCGTCTTTAAAGGATGATCTCCAAGCATTTCATACAAATCGATGATGTATCGTAATTCAATGGTAGAAAATTGTATTTGACGAAGAATATTGTCATTCAAAAAACCTTTTCTATGAATACATTGTTCGACAAATATTTGAATAGTTATATTCTCTGTGAGGTTGTCTTCGACACTATTTTTCAAATAGGTAAAAACATAGTAAAGCGAACCGAGATATTTTAGAATATCATCCTTACTCATTCGAACGATGAAATGACTTGATTTTGTTCGTTCTTCATTGTGTAATCGTTCCTGCTTGATACGAGCACGTACATCGTTGATAAATGATTCGTTTTCACCATACAATTCAAATTGATAGTTGGAATATTGTAATTTATTCGTATCGATCATAACTAATGAACTAATCGTATTTTGAAATGTTAGCTCGATTTGTTCATAATCAAAGATGACATATGTGCCTTTGTCATATTGATAATTGAGAACAAGACTATCATCGATCAATTTTTTACTCAATAAATTTCGATCAGGATGAAGAATATGTTCCGGTCGAATGGATTGAAATGGTACATATTTCTCTTTCGACACGGACAGTTCGAATTTCAATGTTTGACATCCAAATCGGACTTCGCCTAATTTGATCGCATACCAAGCATGAATAAAATTTTCGTAGAGCTGCGATATTGTATCTTGATCGTTGCTTGTTGTCAAATAGTGTATGATTTTCATTTTTGTTGCATCATATCGTTTGAGCCGATGATTAAATTTATCAATGAGATAATTTGTAAAAATAATAATCGGATAGAGATATTGAATATTAGTATAAAGATCCAGTCGTTTTAGTAGAAATGTCGTGATCTGATAAGCATGTTCCGCATAGGAAGATGTTGCGATTTTCAAAATAAATTCATTAAGAGGATTTGTGGTGTGGAGTTTGGTGACATTGAAAAAGTTTAAATAAGGATATTGTTGTTCATTTTCGAAGAGTTCATTCACGAAACTGTCCAGCTCTCATTTAACATTCCAGTTTTGAATAGTCTAAGTATAGGCCATTTTATACTCAGGAGGAAAAGCTCCCAAGTGTCAGATGCCGTTTTGAATCGGATATATACCAGTTTGTAGAGCTTGACGAGACTAGAAGAAGACTAAAAGGGTTCATTCCAATATGATACCCTTCTTGAGTTATGACCATTTTACCGGATTTTTGGCCTCTGACAAGGCATATATAAACCAGTTGAATTAAGGAGTTTTTACCTGAAATTTTGCCTGTAGATAGGTGTTACGACCATTAAAATGTTCTACAAATTTCAGCAAAACAGAATGTTCCCTTCTTGAGATATGGAATGTTGAACGCATTCGCGTTTCCGACCTTTCCTTGTGATAGATGATCGTTTTTTGGATATCCAATATCTCAAGAAGAAAACATTCTGTTTTGCTGAAATTTTTAGGACATTATAATGGCCATGAGGCCTATCTATGGGTAAAATTTCAAGTAAAAGTTCTATAATTCGATTGGTTCATATATGCCTTGCCAGAGGCCGAAAATTCGATAAGATGGTCATAACTCAACAAGGACAGTGTATGGAGACGAACCCTTTTAGGCTTCGTCTAGTCTCATCAAGCTCTACAAACTGGTATATATCCAATTCAAAACGGCATCTGACGCTTGGAAAACTTCCCTCGTAAGTGTAGAGAAAGTAAAACTATTGTATAAAATATGTTTAAAAATAAACAATTTTCAAAATGTCATCTTAATAAGGTTACAAAAACAGCTTTATCTTCCTGGAAATTTTACTTTTGCATACATTGCGCTAATAGCCTTTTATAAACCAGATTGAAGTGATGTTTTAAATAAAAAGAACATTACCTAGGGACTTGATATTTTAATTGCTTCTCCATGGCTTGACGATTTGGATTTCGTAATAAACTCATTCAATTTTATTTTTTCAGTTTTCATCATATTTACTACACTAGAAGACATTTAATCTCTAGATCAAGTAAAATTGTCTTGCTTATCGATTATGGAACCAATAAGATAGAACGCTTGTTGTATTGATCACATCGACACGAAGCATTTTTATATTATTGATAGAGTAAGAATTTTCTTGGTATTTTCTAAGAAAAACAATGTAAAAGAAAAACATTTGAAGATCGATATCGAATTAATATTCGTTACCAATGTTATTTTCGTCATTTTTTCGTCTTATTACAGAAGAAAACCAAATTACCAAATTGAAATTCCGAAATCAGGAGTTATCAAGGAGACTTTCTTTACGAATCAAGAGATTATTTAATTGAAGTTAAACAACTTTCGATTCTTATATATCAAATTGGCAATCATTAATTTAATACAGATGATGCCATTTTCACTCGAGTTCTGCCACAAGTAATTTGCTTTTGTATTTAGAAAAAGCAGGAAACTATTTTTCACTCATATCTATCATATATACTTAATCAGTTAATATTCTTATCATCATTCTTTCTAGAATTCCTTCTTATTCTGACACAAATGAGAATTCTTTTTCATCGTGATGTTCAAACAAATGTAATTACATTAAAAAAATAGGACGATAAAAAGATTCTTACCACAGTTGAACGACGAATAATCACTCTTTGTTTCTTACATCTCTGTATGTATCCCTTATGTGTGCTTCTACTCTTATTTCTATAGTGAATATTTTAAAACTAGCATGTTATAAAAACAAGATAAGTTAACTTGCAACAAATGATTTTGTTTTTCTCTCGAGTTCTTTATTGGTTGCTACATATTTTGTTGTACTCTTGATCTATTTATTCTTTCAATATTTTTAATTCTTATGAAATTACCATAGTAAATTGACAGTAAAAATGAAATTATGGCAGCTTCGAACTAATAATTGAAACCAAATGTAAACAACTTATTAGGATATCCAAAATATAATCTTATATTGAGATAAAAGGGACTTTGAACTGATTTACAAGAAATATAAAATCCTTTCCAAATGAGAGAGGTCTTGTCTGATCATTGAAAATTTTGTATATCGGGTTTTTGTTTGATTTTCGAGATCTACTTTACAAGATATAATATATACTTTTCTACTATGTCAAGTAAAAAAACTGTTTTACACCTAATTAGTTCATGTAATTAACAATTTTAATTCGAGAAAAAGGAAATAAAAGCAAATCTTCTTTTTATTCATTACTGTAACTATTAAACTCCGATATTTTTATTTTTATTTTTTGCTTTTAACTTTCATGTTTGTTCAACGTATTGCTATAACAGGCAAGAAGGAAAAAACTTAAGAGTTAGGAGAAAATCCTCAAAACAGGAGCTTCCTGGTCAAATCAGGAGATTTGGTAAGCCTTGCAAGAAATCAACAGTTGAAAGAATAAAATATGTCAATTTTTATAATAGCATAGAGGTATCGTGAAAGAACGATTATCTATCATAAATTCGAAAGTCGAAATGTGAGGATGAGATGAAAGGATTTTTATTTTATTATTTTTATCTTTCAACGTTAACTTAGAAAATTACTTCGACGAACCGCTTAGTCATCTGATCTGATTTGATAAGCCAATTTTCGTTTAGTAACGATAGTGCGATATGTAGATTAAGAAGGACAATATATGCATCGACTTTTGTTTTTTGGTGACATTATCTGAAAATCTGAAGAAAAAACAATTTAGACAAATCCTTTGTCAAAAACAGCAATTGAAGGAGAATGATTTTGAATGATGGAAACGGCAGAAAACTTGCATTTTCTCATTTGCTTCTTGCCGAGAGCTGTAGAAAACTATTCAAAATGATCAAACATTTACTGAAGAATATTGAAGCATTTCAGTGTTGAATATTACTTGTTAGAAGTAGTCGAATACGACCAAACATGACTTTTTTCGGCACAACGTCCTTCATCTAAGCCAGCATACATGATAGAAATGGAAGAAAGTAAACTGATTAAGTTTCTCAGCAACCAACAACAATAGTCTTTCGATATATTATTCTTCATAATCGATCTAGTCATCCTCGAAGCGTCAGACTAGTGCGTCAATTTGAATTTGTATAAAAAGTTTCTACTTAACCTTCTTTCCAGTCTTCGCGTCAAGAGCAGAGTAAAATTCGATTAAAATAATTAATATCATTTTCAATGCATATGTGCAAAAATGGAAAGAAGACTAATGTTACCTGAACGATAATATTCATGAGTAACAAGACAGGATCAACCGTGAAAGACAATGCTTTTCTTTACTATGCTATTTTATGAAGATGTTTGATATTGCGTTTTGTAGAGTACTCTTCTCGTATTTCTTTCGTTCTCAAGTTTTGAAATAGATTCGTTCTTGTTAGATGAATCTATTAAACTATATTAGACTTCTTCTTCACTACAATACAAATATAGAATGTGTTCTTCCATATACCATTATGTGCTATTTCACCATATGCACTTGTTTCTTTTTCTATAGATTGTATGATCAATGTCTGCTGCCTTTGTGAAATATAAGGATTACCATTCTCTAAACAATTATAGGAACAGCATTTTGTTCGAATTGAAATGTATATACATCTTTAATTTTTTCAAAACTCGTTAGTTCTAAAGCGTTTTCATCGCAATTCAGTTCGGTTTCGATGATCGATAATGCCGAAGTTTACCGAAAAAGACTAACGCGACCACTAGTTTTAGAATCTTAACCAAATATTTTCAGAGAGAAATGTGATATTTCTCATAAAACGGATGTGGGTGTGTGGCGTGGGTGTGGGTCTTCTTGAACTCCGCACCCACACCCTACAAAAATGATTGCCAGTGTGAGCTCTATAAATAGGTAAAGTTTCGCATTGCCAGGTGATACTTTGGTACAGCATGGTAGAAACCCTTTGGAACTACTGTGTGCTGAGTTATTTATTGAAAACAATTTTTTTGTAGTCTACTCATGGTGATAAAATTTCATTTGGCAACATTAAACAAAAATATGACAATACGAACAACAAAGAACGACAATATTAATGCTAGACAAATAAAGACCATGAAAATGAAAACCAATGTGCTCAACTTACAAAAGCACCTACTGTCATCGAATCAGCCTGTCGTACAAACTTCTTGAATATAGAGTTACACTCAATGTTACATACTAAGTTCAAAAAACAATATTAGGTTTTCACAAGCGTCATTGTATTACAATTATTGGGAGTCACAGTTTTTTGGGTCGATTCAATAGGACGTCGTCGAATTCGTTGAAAAATGTGATTGCGCAATTCTTGATTGCGGTAACAGAGTATAATTATATTCACTAACAATGAATTGACAGGTAAAAGGATCAAACCAAAATCAATGCGAGTTTTGACAATGCCTGACGGTAAACTCATCAAACGAAAAATATATATTGAAGCCCAATTAAGAGTGTGGGTGCGGGTGCGGAGTTCGACAAGACCCACACCCACACCCACACCCTTGTTTTTTTTACTAACTCCAACAGTAAAAGAAATATTCTCGAAAAAGCTATCTCTCAACTGGAGGATGGCTTTATTGTATGAAAAATATTATTTAGTTCCCTAGATATTCATCTATATTGTAATATATCATAACAGTGTTCATATTATGTTGCAAAAGCTCCTAGCTTTGTGGAAAAAAAAACAAAAATATTGCTGAGTATCCAAATAATGAACATTGTATTCACCGGAAATAAAACCAACATATCCATGATGACTTTAGCATGAATAGATACATATTAGTATTATCATGTGCACAGCATCTATCACTTCATTAAAAGTTCTTTCTCATCTATAAACTTGTCCAAGGAGATTTTTTTTTTCATCCTACTTATTGAAAATGATTTCCGTGGAGAATTATTCTGGAGAAGAAACCCGAGCTCCATGAAACATCTTCAAACGAAAAGCTGAGCGCATTTCATGTTTCTCATGATCCATCTCACTTCTCGGAGATGTCTCAACCCCTCCATTTCGGCATAGCACAATATCAAGACTGAAAATGAACAATCAGGCAATGTCAGAGGACGATTTAACACGTCATATTTAAATACCCATCAATATGCCTCTAAAAGCCATCGAATAATCGAATGTATTCATTTTCTTTAGAAAATTTAGCCTCATAACTTCTGAACAATTCTATTATTCATGTTATACCTTCTAACTGCAATGAAAACTCCAAAAGGATGCTCTTGCCATACATAGAGTTGGATAAGAATGGTCGTGTATTGTTAGAAAGAATTAACATTCGACTTTGATTATCGAAGATCTCGTATATTCCGGCGAAAACTATGGTTTTTCACTGGATTTTAATCAAAAGCAAGCCGATCAAATCGTTACGTGGTGACAAAACTAGTATAGTCTTGTAGAAATAAGTGAACTGAACATTTTTGGTAGTGAGAGTGAGTTGAAAATGTATCGGGATATACTCAAAAATTTTATTTTACAATGCCCAGTTTGCATAGCTTACTATATACATTCGTCCCACTACACGATGATTGATTCTTTATTTATCCAAGAATGGGGTGAATCGATAACGCTTTAGGGCTCTCGGAAAAACTAGCGTATAGTCTATTTCCCTCAAGATCTTGAAAATATAAAAATATAAACTTAAAGAAAAATGTTTTCTCTATATTGTTGGTGACGAAAACTATTTTTTATCTCTTAAAATGACGAAGATCTAGAGCAAAGAAGACAAAAATTAAAAAATCTTTTAATTCGCCCCGCATGGCTTTACTACAAATATATTATAAATTTTCTATTTTTCATTTCGACAATATTCTATAAAAAAATCGATTCCAGTCACCGTCTTGGAGTGCACTCTTTTTCCTATGTTTTCATTATGAAGAAAATAAAACGATATAGATGAAACAATGGTCACTTTGTTTCTAATTGGATATATATGCAGTGAATGTGCAGTTATGAATCAGATCGCAATTCGTTCACATCAATAATCTTTCGTGCTGATACACATCAATAACAAGAAGCAATTAGAAACATTATGACTGCCGGCGACAATGTTTCAGAAGCTATACAAATAATGCAATTAAAATTACAAATTGAACAAGAACAAACAAAACGAGAAAAAATAAAAACAAAAGCCATACTAGAACAAGAAAAAACAAAACAATTAGAACTTGAGGAAAGAAAAAGAAAAAGCACAAAAGAAATCGAAGAGTCAAAGCGAATGAAAATTCTAAACGAACAATCATCATCAAGCAAAAAAAAACGTTTCAAAGCAGCAATGCATAATCGTGGTTTTTTCGATATTTATGCACGTAATAATGTTCAGCTGCTCGAAATTCAATCTTTATTAAATGTTAATAATAAGATTAACGATGATATGATGTATGCTCTTGAAAAGTGTTTTCTTCCTTTGAAATTATGTGATAAAAAATTAGAAAGCTCAATTCAAGCTGCATTTGATATGTCACTAAATAATTTATTTAACGAACTTAGTGATTTGACATCATTGAAATATTTAAACACATCACATTGTTGTTATTTAGAAGGAAAAGCTCCTGATTGTAGTTTTGTATTCAAAAATATTAATATCCTCAAGGACAACCAAATTGTAGTTTTAAAAGATTTTATTGTTTGCCTTGGTGAATTAAAGAGATTAGATGGAAACATTGTCAAGGAAGATCCAGTTGGACAAGTATCACGTTATCTGAATTATATATTAGATGAACAAAATCGTGAAAAAATCTATGGATATTTGACAAATGCAGAACAAATTATATTTTATTGTCTTCAAAAGAAACCAATGTCAGATTTATATGATTATTATGAAAGTAAACCATTAGATTTTTTTATTGACTTGCCTAAAACGTCATCATCATCATCATCATCATCATCTGTTGCTGCAAAAAAAAAAAGTAAACAATCGAATAAAATCCATTTGAATAGTGATACATTGAAAGTATTTATAAAATTTTTAACAATGGATTGGGAGTTTTATGGCTGCACAATGTTAAATATAAGTCCTAATGATCGTTTACATGAAGATATATTTAACATAGAATCAAAAGCAGGAAGCGGTTTAACTTCAATTGTTTATGTTTTAAACCAAAATACAAATGTCAATACTGATCAAAAGCGCTATGTAATAAAAATCTCCAAACACGATGAATATTCAAATTATTTTAAAAATGAAGTTAAAATGTTAGAACCATTGAAACAATCAAATGATTCAATTAACTTCAAAAAATATTTTGAAAATATTTTCGCATCATCGCCTACAGGTAAATTTTGTTTATTAAAATTTAAAAGAATATTTTCAATGCATTGAAAATCTATTGAAAAAAATTAGAAAATATTTTTTTTTGTTTTTTGAAGTGTTTAAAGAAATATAATGAAAAAGAAGATTTAATGAGAAGCTAATATGAAAGAAATCGTAGTTTTTCAATGGACTTTGTTTGAATGAGAGTTGGAAAAAAAGAATTCCTCATCATAATAAATGAAGAACTCGAAGATTGATTTTCTGTTAAGAGAATAATTCGAGTAAAATACATTATTTTTTTTCTCTGTTGATTAGATATGAAATAAATTAGAAGAAAAATTTTAAATTGTTGAATTAATCTATGATGAAGTGTTTTTTTTATGCGCTCATTTTTGAGATTTTTATAATTAGTAAAAAAGAAAAACAAAACTACATAAATTTATATTTTTCTGTATTTATGCAAATATAAAATTTGAAATCAGAAGATTTTAATGCAAAATTTAATTTAATATAAATATTTAAAATTTTTAGTTTTTGATGATTATATATGTGTATGTGCATAGATGATTGTCTGGGAATTCAATAGATAAGAAAAAAAAGAACTTGAATATTTTTTGTCACTCTTTAATTAGATGAGTAGGTTTTGTGTTTCTAAAGTTAGAGAGCAGATCTAAGTTTTTATTCATGAAAGGATATGTCATTCATATATATAAATCTAGCTAATTATTTTTTACTATACAACTAGTCAACTTTGAGATTAGAATCTATTTACCATCTGTAAATAGCTCTATGATTGTTATTTCGTATTAAAAAATAAGTCACTTGCTATGACCAATCATTGTTTAACTTTAGTTTTCTTGAAAAATGAAGGATAATTTCTTTGATAACTAGTATTATTCATCTGTCATACTACTTGATAAATCAATAAAATAATATCTTGCAACTTTCTTAGGTTTAGAGTTTTGAGAAAAAATGATTCGATATGGCACTAGTTATTTGCAATGCATTGAAATACAAAATTTATAATGAAATAAAATTTATAAACGTTCTTTAAGCAATTTAAATTTCGGAATTGATTTTACGAATAAATTTCAGTATTCACACGATTCGGAATAAAGAGTTAGGCGAGAGATCTAAAATTGCAAATTAAGCGATATGAAGTTATCGTTGGATTTAGAGCGTTAAGAAAATATCTCAGAAGTTCGATTGACGAATATGGAATTAAGAATACGTTTAAGTTAATAGATTTAGGAGTTTAGATTCAGTAATATGGATTAAGGATAGATTTAGGAATATGTGGTAAAAGAATACATTTAATGGTAAAGATTGAGGAATGAATGTTGCGGATAGATTTTGTGGAAGGTACAGATTAGAGATGTATTGAACGGAAACCAAAAATTATAGCTGACATGGACCGAGACTGAAAAAAATAAAATTTTTAACTCTCGCAAATATTTGTCATTGACCAGAAAAATAAGCAAGTACCAACTCTTACGAATTATTCAAGATTGAAAACCAACAGATTCTACTAGTTTCTCTAAATGCGGGCAAGTAACAGAAAAATTAGGGATATCTTTTTTCGGTTAATTAATTTCAAATGTAATTTCTTTCAAATTTCAGAAATTTTAGTTTAAAATGAACTTGAATTAACAATGAATAAAAATTCATGAAATTTGGTTTTTATGTTAAATTGAAAGTTTTCAAGAGGTTTTTCTGGACTTAGTAATTGTTTTTTTAATGTAAATTAATCATCTCTAAGAAAAACTTAAGTCAGAGACACTGGGACTAGAACCAAAAAGAAACGAATTTTAATTTAATTGAGTCAGAAGCGGAAAAGATCTACCGGTGCTGGGACCTGTACCGCGACCGAAAAAAATTTACGGGATCGGAACTGAAACAAGTTGATCTCGTCTATTTCTACTAAGGGTAGATGTAAGACATTATGGATGTTTATTGCGAGTATGAGACTGGTATAGAATAAATAAGATAGAATTTTATAAAAAAACAAAACAAAAAAGGCTAGTTATAAGGCTAACTGGATAGAAATAGACACGTTACATAGTAGGAACGTATCTGATAGTTAGATTGAGGTATGACTATACGAGCATTGATGTCTGAAGAGTGATGTATGAATATAATAGTAGAATATTGAATCTAGTGAAAAACAAAATCATACCGCAGAACATTTTTTCTCGGAAATGAAAAAAGTTATCTTCATGAAACCTTGTTTTTTTTCAATGTAGATATAATTGTAAAATAAAGAGTCGAAATGAGTCAAATTTATAGATTTAATAAAACAAAATGTAAATTATAAAACTTATATTTAAATTTTCTTGAAGAAGCTTCATTCGAATATTCTTAGCATATCGTTAAGGTTTGTGGCGTATTTATGGGTTATCTAAGTAATGCGAAAGTTTTGAATAAACATTAAGATATATAAAATAATCAAAGAGATATTGTTTCAAAGTAGAAGTAAACGTATAAAGTACAAGGTTTTTGTATTTGATCCTCAATTGAAAAGTATTTGTCTCCAAATTGAAGTATAGGTATAAAATACTTTTTCCAAATTACAAGCATAGATACGAAGTACATTTGATCAATAGTTGATTTTTGTACTTTTGGAAAAGCATGAAAAGTATAATTACCAATACTCTCGTACGAATTCTGATTTAAACAAGTGAACTGTTAATATTCTCAATATGTTTGAGATTTCAGATTGAGTTTTAATAGTATATTTATTAGAGCTGGGCTAGTCAAGTCAAGTCAAACTCTGAGTTTACGTGATAAAACGCTTTTTTAATCTTCGAGAGAGTGAAATGTTTTGAATTCTTAATGAAGATAAGTGTTACTGGATGATTTCGATTGAGTATTTTTGATTATTACTGTTTGTTACTTTGATACTACAATTTTATAGCAGCTGACCAACTTTAAGCTGTTGAATGTCTGATGTTTTCCATCAATTTTACAGGTTCATTATTTTGTTGTTTTTCTCTGAACCATTTCATTGACTTGTCTTGTTCAGTTCCTTTTCCTTCGAGTTAAATTACTTGGAGAAAAAAAATGTTGAGGTACCGCTTGACTTGATTTGTGACTTGAAATATCTTTGACTTGTCTAGGGCTGATATTTATTATGAATAAAATCGAAATAAATTGACTTTTTTTTTCAAGAAAATTTCCATGATTGTCGAGAATAAATAGAAATTCAGTGATGTATAAGAATTTTTTATAACGATTTTTAATATGAAATAGTTTATTTGTTATTTTTTTCATAGAAAATGTCGGAATTATAAAAAATAAAAGTTTGAGATAGATTAAACAAAAGAATTTACAAATCTAAATAGAAAAATTCTTGAATCGAGAGTATTAATAAATAGACATTATCAAGTAGAGAATTGGTGAAAATGACGAATTTTTATTTTCAATAAACTGTCAAGTTTTTGTTTAATAAAAAAAAAAAAAAGAAGAGTTTTCTTCAAGTTTAATTTTTCTAAAATTGATCATGTTTGTTTTAATGTAATTTCTTAAGTTTTTAATACTTTCTCGGATATGATTTCTTATTTAACTTAAGTACATTCTTGATTTGTAAATGTTATTAATCATCAATTAAGTTTTAGATCAAATTTTACAATAGTTATTTGATCATGGGTCATAATCTTTATTTATTTGTATTTCAATATATTACATAGAAAATTATTCATTAATGAAGAAATAAGTTGAATTCTTGTTATTAAAATGTTTGTTTAGATATTTATCTTTAAATTATATTTATTACATTAGCTTTCGCCTAAATCAAAGATTGTAATTAAGTATTTTACGATGTTATTATATATTAGTTTAGAATGAAAAATTAATAAACAAAACAAATGATTTAAATCTATTTCTTATTGATAAAATGAATTCTATTTGAATTTATATCTGTTTGAGTATAAATTTACAATTAGAAGAATTTCATATAGAAAATCTTTATTTCACGATCATTCAAATACTATTTTATTTTAAAAATAATTTGTTTATTTTTGTTTTCAGGTAATTTTATAATATTTGAAAATTATTTGACACCTTTGAATTCATTAACATTAATTCAGTCACAACAACTTATTAATATCATTGAATATTTATATAATTGTCATATTATTCATCGTGATTTACGTCCAGATAATTTGATGTTAGATTTTAGTCAACAACATTTAAAATTAATTGACTTTGGTTTTGCTACAACTTATGAAATCGATGAAATGCCAAAGAAACTGCCTATTGAAGGAGTAGTTTCATATGCTGGCTTAAAATTTCTAGATTATTATTACGAATTACTATCGAATCATTCAAATACTTTCTATTATTATTATGAACGAACGTTTGATCTACAATGTGCAATAAACATTATGATGTATCTGACAGATGATAACATTAAAAATAGAATGATATCAATTAAACAAGACTTGTGTGTTAAATCAAAAGTATTAAAATTATATCAATTATGGCTTGATATAACACTTAGGAGTGACAATTGTTCTGAATTATTAAAGTTAATTAAATCTTTAAAAGAATCACCAAATTTTGATGTTATCAAATGTGAAATAGAAAAACGTCTAGTATTTGTAAATTAAGATGATCTTTATAATCACATGTATGGTCATGTTACTGATAAAAATTTATAAATAATTTGGTAGTTGAGATTTTTTTCCTGTTATTTTCCTGATATTGTGTTTGTTTATTTCTTTTTTTGCAGGTTATGTTCATGTTCATATAATAAATATTATTCATAGAGAAATAAAGTTGACTTATTTGATTGATTATTTAATCTATTTTCAAATTAAGAAATCATAATGATTTATTTATATATCTATGAGATGTTCTTTTTTGAACATTAACATACTCAACATCAGTGTCGAGATAAAAAAGAAAGTTTTAAGATTCAAGAAATGATATTGTCGAAGTGAATATTTTTTTGAAAAATACGAACAGATCTGACTGATATTTGATATTCAAGATTCATATTTATTTGATTTTTCTTCGTTTAGGAAAATTCGATAAATAAATTTTTCAAATTTTAGTTAAAAATTACGTTGTTGACTTTGAATAGTGGAGGTGAATATGAGAGTACAATTTTTTAAATTTAAAATTAAGTCGTATGTTATAAAAGAATGAAAGTAAACAATATTAATTTATCGCAATGAACAAATTTCATCAATGGACCAAAAACAATTTTGTGTTTGGGTAACGTGAAAATAAAATATTTAAAAACGAAATAGTTTTAACTTATTCTTTATAGTAATAACTAGAAGAAATCGAATAATAGATTTTATTACAGAAAATAATTTTCAATTAAAAGAGATTCTTATGAAATTCTTAGATTCATGATTAATGAGAAAGTTTATGACAATTCGAGAATTCTGAAATTGCTTTTCCTTTTATTTCCATAAGAAGCGTTTTTCAGAGATGTTCATCTGTCGAAAATAACATAACCGTGTTATACAAGAGTATTGCCTATCATCATGAAAACTTCATTGTTTGTAGAGTTCAATTAGCTAATCATTTTGATGTATTTCGATTGAAGAAAATACCTTAGCATCTATGCTTTTCAGAAGTGGACTTTTCATAGTTTTCTCCTTGTAAACTTTTGCAGCTGCTTGTCGGATGTTTTTTTTTATCTTATTATTTTTTCTAGGCGTTTATTATGCGTACTTTTTTCATCGTGCAACTTTCTGAAAAGACTAGTTTTACTCAGTTTTCAATGTAGTATCGGGATCAATATTATATCGAATCTTGGAATCACTATGGAATGAACATGCGAGGGCTAAAAGTCGATGGAGTCTCAACTATGAGATTTTACAATGGTGAAAAGTGGCCTATATTTCAATTGAAAAAAAAATGCAACTTTTCGAATTTTCCTAATAACTATCATATAGGAAAAGATAGAGCAAAACTTGTTCTACGAAATGGTATACGTCACTTTCTGGGACGATCAGATTTATCAAAATGACAATGGATTTAGAATCAGGTAGATTTCGATATTTTCAACGTAGTTTTTGATATTTAACAGATTGTCCATGAGAAAGTCGAACATCATCATGCTCTCGAAAAATTTGACCACCTTTTTTATGATTGGACATGAAAGAGCATGGTGAAAACCTATAAATCGAAATTTTTAGTCATTTCTAAGATGGGAATGACGCGTTATGAAGGTGTGGGTGGGTATGGGTGTGGAATGTCCACTCTTTACCCACAAACCCATTCCCATCAACACCCACACCCCGTAACAATATTCATTTCGAGTAATATTCATCGTTGCTTTTATTATGCATCAATTAATCATAGTATGATCTGATCAGTCTTCAAGCTTTATGCAAAATAATACACGCTTCCACTCTTGAATCCTTTGAGCATTTGCATAGGTCTTTGATGGGTACACCTTGCAATGCCTGTTCAATATGTTTACCACTACCTAAAAGAATAAAAGACGTGTTAAGTAATTTTCAGATAGATTGAAATCAGTCTTCACATTACCTACCCATGTTGGCTTGCCACATTTAGAATAAATAGTTTTTCTGCACATTTTTTGGAAATCTAAAAGATATTCTAAATATAGAAGAGAACAACACAAGATTGCTCATGTTAACTTAATCTAAAAACAAAAGGTTCACTATTGATTTTTTCGATAATGCCATTGATCGATATTGCAAAGTTTTCTATTATTACAAGTCAAAGTAAAAAATAATTATTCATCATCACGGTTCAAACCGTGCATATGAGTGATTAAAATAGAAAGAAACGTAACTATTAATGACATCGTCATTGATTTTTCGAGCAAGAAAGTCAATGCATCTCATCAGTTCATTATTATATCAGAAAAGAAACTCTCACAGAGTTTTTTTCGTATAGTTCACACAAAGCGATAAAACTATTGAATCATGCTAAACGATAATTGACTCATTATTTCTCTAAGACACGATTGCCTTAAAAGGAATATATCTAAACTTTGCCACCAAAACAATGTGAGCTATAGAAAAATTTTGTTTTTTTAGAGCGTAATAACCTGTATTTTTTGAGATAACAATAATCATGTTTAGGATCTAAGTTTTCAGAACAATTTTCAAAATAAGTTTATCGCCTCACGAGCCATAACTGCATTTTTAATGTTTTTCATTTTGAAAAGTCAGAACCAGCGAGTATATCACATGACAATGTACAACTGAGTAGTCCGAAAAAGTTCGCATATGCTGAGTCTTGATCCATGGTCTTGAAAAAACGCTTAAGAATGAAAGTCGTCATTTGAATTTCTCTGATTTTTCCTTTGCGAAACTAAACTTCTGATGATTTATAATCTTTTTATTGTCACAGAAGAGTGATGCGCAACTATGTTTTGAATCACCTATACATGAAATACAAACAATCTTCTATGTTGTGTCATTTGAAAAGAAACTTTTCCGATCAAGATGAAGATTAGGGAAAAAATATGTTAAATGACATAATTTTCTCTATCTCACCTGTTGATAATTTAATGAATGTCGTTTCTGATTTCCATTCTTTCTTTTTGCAGTACGTGTTTTCTCTTCTCTATCTTTATATAATTTAAATCTTCTTTTCTTTAGTGTATTATTGTGAATAAAGAACAAGATTTCTATTCATGTTTAGTCCTTCACATATTCTATCAAAGATTGTAAAACGTTAATATTTGTAAGAGGATTAAAGATCGCCTCTGTGATAAATAGTGAGTGGAAGTTTTATGATGAACTTTTCTGTTCCAGGTACAGACATCATCTTTTGAGTTTATTGCTCTTTTCAAATAAATCCTATTTGAGTAGAGATTTTCTAATCTCATTGCTTTACTCATTTAAAAATAAAACTAAGAATATGTTCAGATAATACGCTTATGTACGTTCAATGCCTTCATTCTTTTGAACTGTGCATACTCAACTGTTCTATTTCATGCTTATAATTTAATCTTTCTTTCTTATTACCCTATTCAAGAGTATGTTTCACATTTTTGTCTTTCATTGAACCTGCATTGATATGCCTTACTTGATCGAGCTTCTCACTTTTGCTCATCAACGTTCGATTGTTCATCATAGTCTGTTTCGTAGACGTAATCATCTGAAAGCATGTATGGATTCATTCGACAACTTCAATTACCACAATCTGATCAATAGCAATCTGAATACCAGCTTGACAGATGAAAATGTACTACATAGATTAAGTTGATTTTTAATTAAGTATACAATTTGAAGTACTCCTCATCAAAGTTAACAATCAAGTAAACATATTTGGCAATATCAATATAGTGAGCTATTTTCAAGTGTTGAATATTTATTTTCAAGCTAAAAAGCTTTTGCGTACACAATCATAATAGATCGATTCTTGGAACCACAGTTTTGTCTTTATTTCTTGATGAAAATAAAACAATATTTGATGTTTGTAGATTTTTATTTTTCAGAACTTTTCCAATTCAGAGCTTTTCCCTCTTCGAATGTTTTCTTTTTTGCATCATTTTTACCAAACCTTAACATATATTCACGGAAGCAGATTATAACAAATTGAAATCATAAAGTTATGATATTGTTCAACAAAGAAAAGAGAGTTCATTTTTTTTAATTAATCGAAAGCGATGGAGAAATGTATTATTTGTGGAGCATATCCAAGTCTCACATGTTATCGGGGAACGTTAACTTAACAGTATTGATTATCTATCCACTTTTACTCTGCAAAAAATGTTCATTAACAGTCATTAGTAATGGCTTGCCAATTTTATTGTTTCTATGCGCCTGGCTCTTTTTCATGATATAATCATCTTAAGTACAAATGAATGAACATAAAATTTATATAACGTATTTTTAGAATAGAAGGAATTAATTCCGTGTTGCTATTAGTGTAGATTGGAAAAGTTATAAGGAAGGTACCGAAAAACCTTGATTCTCTCTTGTGCTAAAACCTGAACGAGCGAAATATGTAACACATGCTGTAAATTTGAGGAGCGAAGCTGAGAATATGAATACAAGATGAAGTAGGTGCTACGAGAGATGTTTAATATTAACAGTAATGGTAGCTTGTCAGTATAACAAACGCTCATATTAAGTGAGAGTAGCAACTTACATAACACAGACATACTCTATAATACTTATATACCAATTCAGATTTTGCATCACACATAAAGATATTTTTACCTTAATCATGGACAGTTAAGTACAGATATAATATGAATTCTACTAGCTTCCTGCACAATATCCACGAATCGCATGTGCTTTCTAAAAACATACAATTCAATGTATACATAATTTTCAAGGTCATATTTACTAGAATATCGATGTAATTTCCATCTAGGACGAATGATTATCATTTCTCCATTCGCTCACTTGAGCAATCGATTCTTAGTGTTGTCTTCACACTTGTATATCAGTTATCATCATTTTGTTTTGCGAAGTTTTAGACAATTTTCTGAATTATAATTCAAATTGCGCCCATTCGAATAGACATTCTCTTGAAGTCATAGATGATCGAATAGAAATAGTTAAGTATGGTATAAGCCTACTTTCAAAATCAAATGCAAGAATTAAGCTAATGATTTATTTCGATCAATGAACTGCTTTTTACATCCCATGACACACCGACCGACCCAATGAAAGCTTATTCAGAATTATTAAATTATGATCCAATTCTAAGACGTTGAAAACCTGTTGTGTTCAGTTCTGATGATTTAATCAATACTGAGATTCAAAACGAGGGTGAACGTGAAATAAAGCCAAATAAATGAAGAATTAAAAGAGTATAATTATAATAGCAATGAAGCAGATCACAATCATAGACTTTACTTTCTAAACTCATGTTTCTAGTCTAAATCGAAAGATGAAATGGGTGTGGGTGTGTGGGTGGTGGGCGTGGGTGGGTGTGAGTGTGGGTCTGGCTTGAGTCTCGGTGTGGCTGTGCAGGTTAGTGTAGCTGTAGGTGTGGATGCGTGTTTGGGGTTGCTGTTTTACCTTGCTGAGCATGTCTCCATGATGAGGCAAGCAGGTACGACTTGTGTGAGTGCGTTAGTATTCGGAGAATTTGTGGTTGGCGCAGTCGTGGTGTGTGGTTTATTGTGGATTGCAGTTTTTCCAGAAGTTCCTATTAGGATCGGTGTGAAGGTCACTTTGGTTTTAGCTTAGGGTTTGTATGTAGAGGAGCGCGTGGGCGATGCTTTGCCATTGATCCCTATAGTACGGATATGGCTGGTAGTGAGGACGTTTCCTGGGACGTTGAATTTAATGTTGAATGTGGCTGTGTGTCTCTCGGTATTGTTGTATGAAGAGGATTGTCTGATATCTAGATGACCACGTGGGTGCGACTTTGCAGTAGGGCCTGTTGGCACATTATTCATGTCTGTTGTGTATTAAACAATATGTAACTGTATGTATCGATGTGGGCGAGAGGTCGTTGGTGCCTATTAGTAGACATGTTTAAAAATATGCAATTGGCTACGGATGTATGCTTCTATTTCGGATGCGCAAGTGGAATTTTTTACTAGTCTTGTGGATTTTAATGCATTGGAGAAAATTGTGGTCAGTAACACGATTGGTCGGACATTGTGCGTCGCGAGTGAAGCAAAAGCCAGTACATTTTATGGTTTTGGGTATACGAGAAAGGCGACATAGGAACTTTTCTTGTGCTTATGTCTCAGCTAAGAAAAGTACACGACTTAGAAGACTGGCTTTTGAGTGTGTTTTTTACGTCACTTGGAAAATGATAGAGATTGTATGATAGCATTGTTTGTTAGTTATCAGTGTAGTTCGAAATAGACGGAACATTGTGCAAATAAACATGTTTGATTCAAACAAGAAGGGAATGTTTTGGTGAATACGGTAGAGTTATTTTTTTGTCGAAGTTGGAAAAAACCAAGCATGTGAAGTGTGTGTTGTTGTTGACTGAAGTCTGCGAATGAAGCATGTATGATGCATATAACGAAAGACGATAAAAGGAATTTTGTTTCGGCGAAATAGTGCTCACCTGGCTGGCAGGTAAGAGAGGTAAGTAAGTATGAATTGTTGAAGGAACAGCGAGAAAGAGAGAAAAGGAGGCAATATGGTTTTTTTCTGTTTGTCTTTGGCGCTAAGTGAAACAAAGAAAACAACAACTTTTGATTGACTACTACACGGTAAAGATAAGAACGAGAATTTTTTTCGCACGTGATTGTTGTAAATAAATACGCGTCTAATAACAAAGCACGATCATTCGAATTGCAAACGCAACAAGAAAACTTCAACTACACACACACATGCTCTCCAACACGTTCATACATACAGAGTCAATCAAAAATGACCTATGATTCAGCTGAAACTCCGGTCCAGTAAGGCCAATCGGGCTGAAATTTTTATCAGGAGCATATCTCTCCAGGATCACTCATCCCTGAAATTTTCAGCTCAAAAGACCCATCCTAAGTGGGAAT